CAGGCTGGAGTGCAGTGGTGCAATCTCGGCTCACTGCAACCTCTGCCTCCTGGGTTCAAGCAATTCTCCTGCCTCAGCCTCCCTAGTAGCTGGGATTACGGACGCACGCCACCATGCCCAGCTAATTTTTCTATTTTTAGTAGAAACAAGGTTTCACCATATTGGCCAGGCTAGTCTCAAACTCTTGTGATCCACCTGCCTTGGCCTCCCAAAGTGCTGAGATTACAAGCGTGAGTCACTGCACCCAGCCTTTTTTTTTTTGAGAAGGAGTCTCGTTCTGTTGCCAGGCTGGAGTTCAGTAGGGCGATCTTGGCTCACTGCAACATCCGCCTCCTAAGTTCAAGTGATTCTCCTACCTTAGCCTCCCAAACAGCTGGGACTACAGGCATGCGCCACCACGCCCAGCTAATTTTTTTGTATTTTTAATAGAGATGAGGTTTCACCATGTTGGCCAGGATGGTCTCGATCTCCTGATCTCATGATCCACCCGCCTCGGCCTCCCAAAGTGCTGGGATTATAGGTATGAGCCACCACACCCGGTCCTGCTATTTGTTTTCTGCTGGTCTTATCTATTCTTTGTTCCTTTTCCTTCTTTTCCTGAATTCTTTTTGAGCAAGTAGTTTGTTGTGGTTGTTGTTTGAGACAGGGTCTGGCACTGTCATCCAGGCCGGAGTGCAGTGGCGCAATCTGGGCTCACTGCAACCTCTGCCTCCCGGCTCAAGTGATCCTCCTACCTCAGCCTCCCAAGTAGCTGGGACAACAGGCTCATGTCACCACACCCAGCTAATTTTCCTTTTTTTTTTTTTTTAAATAGAAATGAGGTTTTATGTTGCCGAAGCTGGTCTCCAACTCCTGAGTTCAAGCCATCTGCCCTCCTTGGCCTCCCAAGGTGCTGAGATTACAGGCGTGAACTACTGTGCCTGGCTATAAGTAGTTTTTAATATTCTGTTCTATCTAGATAATGGGCTTATCAGCTATATCTCTTTATTTTATTTTATTTTATTTTATTTTATTTTATTTTATTTATTTTTGTGACTGAGTCTCTTTCTGTCACCCAGGCTGGAGTGCAGTGACTCGATCTGGGCTCACTGCAACCTCCGCCTTCCGAATTCAAGCGATTATCCTGCCTTAGCCTCCCGAGTAGGTGGAATTACAAGCGCGCCACCACGCTCGTCTAATTTTTGTATTTTGAGTGGAGACGGGGTTTCACCACGTTGGCCAGGCTGGTCTTGAACTCCTGACCTCCGGTGATCCGCCCGCCTCGGCCTCCCAAAGTTTTGGGATTACAGGCGTGAGCCACCGTGCCCTGCCCAAATAATATTATACTA